TGATTTAGTAAACAACTAACTTTAGATTAGTGTAGTCTTGTGTCTGTGTGTGGAAAAGCCATGGACATTGAGCTAGGAAATACCTGATGGCAGTTTAAAAGGAGCATCCATGGAATCATGAATTGGGAAATAAAAGTTGTCCTGCATCTTCATTTGAATTCTCTTAGTAAACTATATAGTCTTTTTATTTCTAACTTTTTGAATGCTTTTTCCTCTTTTGTATCTATCACCTGGCAATAGGATATGGAAATAGATTTATGGGGAAGAAAAGAGGAGGAACAATAGCATTGACTATATAAAAAGCTGTCAAATACTCTAGGTAGGATGGTGAAAATATATATTTTTTTTCAATTTTTCTTATTACAGTGTTAGGTGTGAAGGTGGGGGGAGGTTAACTGTTTGCTCTCATAGTATGAGAGATTGTCTTCAAAAATGAATTTCTCATTAAGGCCTTTTTCATTAAAAAGTTATCATTTGTGCTGCCACCTCCTGTCCTTACGGCTCTTACAAAAGTTTTTGCATCTGTCTACCCTAATGAGAGCTTTAGTGTTCTGCATACAACCTATATTCTAGCAGGTTTTCTTTTGTGCTGTTTCCTCTTCCCCTTCCCTTCTCAAAAATGATAGAATATCTTTCATAGATATCTATATACTATCAGTGTTAATAGTTGTGTGAGCTGTAGTTTTCTTGTACAATAGTTCTCATTGGTTTCTTCTGATTTGAAACATGATGCCATGTTAAAACAAGTGAAAGTTCTCTAATCAGATTTATATTATTACTTTGTTTATGAATATAAGTGGGGACCTAGTTGGGAACCCAGCTTTTGACTTTATAAGGTAAAATTCAAGTAAAATGAACTAACTTTTAAATATTATTTTTCAAACTTTTTTTTTAAAACACCGTACCCAAAAAAAAAATCCATGGAAAAATTTGTCTGGACTCTAGTATATGGAAGATGATTGATAGCTGCGATTATGAAACTTTATTGGAGTTGGGCTTGATTTCAAATTCTTATTTCACAAATGTGCTCTCTCCCTTGGTGATCCATCATCTGCTTGTTTCCTGAGACTGCTGTGTACAGTTTTTGATGATCATACAGGAAACAAGTGGAAGATAAAAAAAAAAAAAAAATCTGAAAATGGATGCTTGAAGGAGTTCCCTTCTTCCAACAGCTGAGGGTGGCAAATGGGTTGTCTGAATTTTTTGGAATGTGCAGAACTAGGTCCAAAAATATTAATGTAATTTCAATTACTACCCATTCACCTATTGACTCAGGAGTTAAACTCTCTGTATATATAGAATATATACATTTTCTCTATGTACCGGTGAAAAAGTTGTGCTTTTTTTCCCTTTGCTGTCACACAGTTGATCTTAAAAGGACATGGCAGGAACATGTGGTCTTCATTAGACCACAGAATAATGTTGTGTAAGTGGAATACCTCTGGGATAATGCATAACTTATTTTCCATCATAAATGATGTTCTTTGTACAAAGCCACACAGATGAAATATTCTGGGATATATTGTGCTCTAACTTCTGTTGGAGTGCTGCTCCCTTAAAACAATAGTGCTGGGGCCATAGGCAAATAGATTGTACGAAGCAATGCTGAAGTTTCAGAAGCTTAGACTGGATGTGAATGCTAAGTCGACAGTTGTGTATATTTTTGAGAGATGAGGAACTGCTATAAAAGATACAAATCAGCTGAATGCTAAAGCGTGGTAAGTTGCTTGCAAGAGGTTGGTCTTGCACAAAGTAGAAATTTTAAGCAGGTTGAACAAGAATTGCTTGCTTTTTAAGATGAAAACTGTATTTTTAGGTCAAAATAACCTTTTAATTCCAATTAAATAAAAACAGAAATTTGTCAAATACAGAAAGTTTTGTCATTTAAAAAATATTCTGCTGACCAGCTGATAATGAAGAAAATCTGACGAGCAGGTTTCCCAGGTTAGCTGGGAAATTGCTGAAATTCTTTCAGTGCTTGCAGAATCATACCACAAAGAATAAAGAGTTCTAACAAATCTGGCAGCATCCTGATGTTGAGGTTAAGGTTCATGTATGTGCTACTTACCTATAAAGAACTAATCTACAAACTTTGAACCAGCATATTTTGTATAATGCCTTTTTGATTGTATGACCCTGAAATAACTGGACAAACCAGTGCAGTCTCTCTATTTTTTAAATTTATGCGGCCCTTCGGTAAAGATTGTTAAACAGTAAATTGCATGTAATTTATTTTGATAGTAAAAAACTTCTCCAGGAACCTTCTCTTTTGTCACTTTTCTTCCCCTGTCAATTAATGAAATGCACCTATGAAAATACCTTCGTAGAGGGCTGTGGGTGACACATTATTCTGAAAGAGTAGTGGCTTGAAACAGATGGGTATTTGGAGAAATTGGGAAGTACTGTGGTATGATACCAAATACCATTTAGGAATCATCTAAACTTCTGAGCTTGACAGGATAAGCAACCTCTTTAAGATGGGTAGGGAAGAAATTTCGGTAGTGATAATTACTTAATTTACTTAACCTTTCTGTTTTTGTTCTGACATGATATAAAATAATTCTTTTCCTGGCATCACTGTGGCTTTTATCGGCAGGTGAGCTATATGCTCACATTTTCATTAACCAGGTTGTCATAATGTAATGGATTTATATGGTTTCCCCCTCATCCTCTTCCCTCCTCCAAATTTCTTGTGCGTGGTTATTCGTAAATGGCCTTTGTTTGAAGGAACTTGTCTGGGTGGGTAGGACCTGAAGGGATGCTTAAGACCTGAAATTTTAAGGTAGTGAAAAGCAAGAAGAGGGAGTGCTATAGTTATGTTCTGCTTCCTTTTATGTGAAACAATTTTATTTGTTTAGTTGGTTGGTTTAGCAGGTTTCTCTTGCTTGCTCTCTGTGAAAATCATGTGCTACTGAAATTTATTGCATGATTAGTGATACAGTTTGACACTTGTTGTATTTGATAAGAAAATGTGTAGAGTTTAAATGAGTAGGGCAAGAAATCTCAGCAGAAAGTTGGCTCGATTGCTTTCCAGTTCAGTATATTTGGTGACTCATGTAATGGCTCTAAAATGCAGCTTTTGCTGTTGGAGAAGTAGCAAGATATTGAATGTTTAGATGCTTCAGAGTATGCCGAGACGCTTGGTGCTAATTTCCAGACTTCACTAATGAGATTAAATTCAAAAAAGTTAAATGAAGACATCATCCTGGAGGTAATGACTTCGTCAATAAAAAATAAATAAGTAAAAAGAATCCAGATTCAAGTCCGTGATGCCTCTCTGAAAAATCCTTGCCATGGATGCCCTTCTTTTTCCCATGTCCTTACAGTTTTTTTGTTCTAGGTGTAGTAGATTTGGCAAGGGTGAGTGAGAGGGTTAAAATACCTTGGTCTGAAACAGGAAGGCGTTTGTAGACTGTGCCTCACTTCGTTAGGTGGAAGAACTGTACATGCTTCATGGGGGAAACATTGCAATGCTGCATCTTGGAAGGACCTTGCAATTCTTCAGTATGGAATTTTTCAGTAGGAAAGATGGGATCTTTTGCTTCAGTTAAGTAGCTATAGAGCAGGGCAAAAACCTTGTCTGTAATGGGGTACAGTAAAATGCTTTGATTTACTAATCTGTGAATGAAGACAGATAAGGTGCTATTACTAGTCTCCTGCCCTTCTTGAGTAGGGCAGGACACAGGAGGAGAAATGCAAACACAAGGAGGAGGAGACTAGTAATAGCTGCCACGCAGATGGGATTATTCTGGTGATTTGTGAGTCAAAGCAGATTGTATCTGCACAGCTAAAAACTCCATCTGCTGCTTTTCAGTTTGACGCTTTTTTTTTTCTTGAGAAATTACTACTAAAAATATCTGATTTCTTGTGCTGAATGTAACATCTTCTGATGGCAGTCTATTAAAATGAGTTTCAAAGTGATGTTTTGTGTTATTGTGAATCATTAGAATGATTTTTCACTTGGAAAAAATATTGAGTGGAAATTCTAGCATTGTTGTGATGCTGGTTTGTACTGTGGCCATTCCAAGTTACTTTTAAAAGTGCATAGCAAGAGTACTCTTTGAGAAACACTTCAAAAATTGTATCATCAGCCTTCTACGGAAAGTCACAGCAGCTGGGCTCTGAGAAAGCAGAGCAGTGAGCAAATACTCTTAGAATTCAGCATGCCTACAACAAAGGGAATGTTTGTCACCTTGCTGAAAATGACAGTGATTTTTCTCCTTAGTACTGATTTAAATGAGCAGGAAGGAAAGCACTGGTTTAGAATAGTTTTAAAGTAATGTCGCCAGAATTCATGTTTTGAGATTTCTACTATTTTCAAGCTCTTTTTTAGCTCTGTTCTGTCACTGAAATCTGTGCATTTCATGTGTGTAGAAAGTATTCCTTGAAGGACTGTAAATTTCAATTTATTTTAAGATATTAGGTGATTGAATATGTTATATTCAGAGGTGTGCATATATATGTGCGTGTGTGTATATATATGAAATGTATGCTACTTCTGGTGCTGTTATTTATTCAGGGAGGATATACTGCTCAGTTACAATTTCTTAGATTGGGAAACAATGAATTATTAAAGCTTGAATTATCAGAAGTTGTATTTGGTTGCTGGAAATTGTAAAGTACAATTTCAGTTGTAAAGTACAAAAATACAGTTAATTTCTAAACAGTCAGAACCTTGATTTAAAGGTTTAAAAAACCTTTTTTTAAAACCTTTTAAACCATTTTAAACCATTTAAAACCTTTCCATTAATTATGGCTGATATTGAGGTATAGCTACTTAGGCTGTTAGTATCTTGAAATTATTTAGCTTAGTTTTATACCTTTTTCGTACCCTGGAAAAGACTTTCTGCCACTTTCATTTACAATACTCTATTAATATTGTTTCTTTAAAATTAATTACCGCAAATGATACGTAATAAGATTTATTTTAAAAAATGCTGTGTAGAACAATTTGTCTTAAAATATCTCACTGGGTTTTTCTGTTCTTTTGTTTTTTCAAGGGTTTGTGGATGCACTTAGATGTTTGCAATGAGCACTGTGGCTGGCATGCCCCAGTGTTTTGGATATCAATGCATAGGACTCCGTAGTAATCGAATTTATCAGAAACGAACGTCATGAGCATAGTGATCCCACTGGGGGTTGACACAGCTGAAACTTCTTATTTGGAAATGGCTGCAGGCTCAGAGTAAGTATGTGAACACAGTCTGTGAGTTTTCTGTTCTTTTTATTTTTTCTACTGATGTTTGTTTGAATACAGGTTTACAGAACTTAATCTGTTTAGGTATGTTAGGTTTTTTTGTTGTTTTTTGTTTTGTTTTTTAATAACTCCCTGATCAGTAACTGACTTTAGTCTTAAAAGCCAGCTTCTTTTTTGGAAAGAGTAAAGTAGCTAAACTGTTCCAGAGATGGTTATTTTTCTTGTTCTTTAGACCAAAAATTACAGATGCTGCATAGTTTGCTAAAATATATTACCATTTTTGTTTCCTTATGGTTTTAGATTTCCTGTGTTAGAAAGATAAATTCTTTTGGACTGGTAAACCACAAGAAAGTGGTGATTAATTAAACAAAGATTTGTTTATTTTTCAAAGCCAAAGGCCTGGATTCTTTATCTAATATAGTGTTCCTGTGAAGTTAATTTATCTTAAATTATTTGTAGAAAAACATACATTTGGTATCCAAAAAGTGGACAGCCATGATCACATAGAGCCAGAAAAAAAAGGGTTCAAGAAATCCTCCCTTTACAAGTAATAAATATAGCGAGTTGTTGGTATTTCTTTTTCCTGATGCTTTCTGACTCTGTAGTGTTGATAAGCCAGGGTTTAGGTGTTGCTCCTCTCAAAGTACCTTTGAAGAGTGGGAATTTTGCCTATTCCCAAGAAGCATGGTGTGTAGCATCCACCTGACTGTCAACTCTAAAGAGAAGAAATAGTATTTTTGGCAGCTTACTCCTTTGAAGTGTTAGAGACCATGTTGTTAGAATTTTTGTTTGTTTACAAAATTTTATCATCCCATTGAGTTTTTTACAATCTCAGTTTTATTTAGCAGTTTTTCTTTCTTCTTCTATTTTCTCTTCTCTTTTTGCATTAGTAGAACCTCTGACACTGTGGCTTTTTGCGGGGAGGGGAAAGATAACTGTCGCAGGATATTATGTTTAAGTGTTAAAGAATGAATTTCTGTAAGATGCATTGAAGTTTGTGTACTTTTTGGCATATTCACAAAATCTACAGTTCGCTTAAAACTCTCTCCAGAACATATTTAATATAATATAAATTTAATACTTTACCTCCCCATGTGAGATATGTTGCTTCTCTTCCCCTTTGTCTGCCTGCAAAGTCCTTTTCCAATAATATTGAGGGTTTTTCCTATGTTTAGTTGCTGCAAGCGTGTATGTATCTCCTTTGAATATTGAAATAGTGCATTACATTTATTTTACGTACTATTTCTCATGCTTAATGTATCCTTTGCATGAAAATAAACTTCATAGTGGTCCTTGATTAAGAGTAAATAGTGGGTGCATAGGATTACCATTATAATCTTACAGTTTATATACGGTCATTATTAGTAGTGTGTTTACTTAAGAGTGTGCTAACTTTGCACTGTTACTTCTCTTAAGAAGTAAATGTCTGTCTTTTGTCAAAATTGAAATAAATTCTTAATAGACTGTGTGTGGCATGAAAAACATCTTTTTCAAAGAAATGTTTCTCCAGTGTTTTTCCATTGTATATTATTTATAGCTATATTAATATTCTATGTGATTTTGAGCTATTAAAAACAAGAATTCTCCTGATGAAACTTGGGCGCTTTAGTGGCTCAAAAAGTTTTTTGTTGGTCCTTAATATTGTTAGCACTGATTTGCCTGGTGTAGAAAATTCTTCAAGAAACTTGAGAACTGTTTGCAACTCTGTTCATTATCTTTTCCTGTGTATTTCCTCTATGTTTAGAGACAGTCATAATTCCTCAGGTTGCCAACATTCCTTGCAGACGCAGCAACCCATGTCGAAATTAGAATAAATAAATACAGTTGTCAGTATAAACAAGTTGCAGCTCATAGTGCATTACTTGCTTCATACAGTGGCGTAGAGGCCCAGTTAGGGAGTGCTGCTCTTTAGTAGTTGCTTATTAAGTTATTCATTAAGCATCTTCCATGATACTTAATGCTGAATAAAGTGTAATTTCATGATTGTTTCAATCTGTTTCAAAAGCCATGTCATTGTGTAGCTGTGTCCCTACCCTGTCTGTTCATAGGTTTGTAAATTTTTTCCATGACAGGATGTTTCTTAAGCACTGCTTTCAATTCTGAAATTCATAATTAAGAAGCATCTTTGGCATTCTGACAGATCAGAGGTTGTGCAGGAAGAGCTATCTTTAAAGTAGAGCAGAAAATTAAAGCCTGTTAATTCATTATCCATTGGAAAACTTCAGTCTCCATGTGTGGTGTATTGTTTGCATCTTTATTTAATGTTTTAGGGTTTTTTACCTCCACAGAGAAGCATTGTGAGTATAGATTGTGTTGATAGTGAATGCAGATCATTTCTTAACATGTAACATGCTCTGCTTTTCTTTCTTTTACAAGTGGGAAGACATGGAATTTCTGTAGTGACTGACAGGTCTGGTATTGCTTTTTACGTCACTAAAGCTTTAAATTGAGGGATAAATCCATTAAAAAGATGAATGCATTACCTTGTTACCTGTAACTTCAATATAATTAGTAATTATTGTAGCAAGTAGCGATGTAGAGAATAATTTTCTTAAAAGATTTGTAATTTCTTACAGGTAGAGTAAAATAGTTTCTCTTCAGTTTCTCGCACATAAGTAAGCTCTCCAACAATTCATCCTCATTGTGCCGTGTTAGTTGAAACTTAAAACGGAAAAAAATATATATTTCAATAAAACTCGCTGTATATGCAATATTATGCAAGCAAAATGCAACCTCATAGCCAGAGCACTGCAATCATATTTGCAAAGTAACCTACTCTCTTTTATTTGGGAGAAGAAGGCTCACTAAAGGTGAATACTAATAATTGTTAAAAGAATCCGTCTTTTACTAAAGACCGTGAAATCCATGACCTTTTAGCTACCTTTTTAGCCACTTTTTTAACGATCCAAAACGTGTTAGTATTGCTCAGAGCTTAAGTTATGCACCAAGGAAATATTGGTGGTGTTATTGCTTTCTAGTTTTTGATATTCATTTATTTTATATATATGTATGTATGTATATATTTAAAGAGAATAGCCTAATAAAATGTAACTAATATACTTAAAGCCCAACAGTCACAGCCCAAAATATTAATACACATGTTTTGGGAACTTTAGATTTAGTGAGAGTTTCTTTGCCTGTTAAATACCTACAGTTTTGTACAGATGGTTGATGGCCAGCTTCTAAAGTCTGAAGACTAGTGGTATTTTGGGTATTAGTTAAAACCCAGTTTTGTTTCTTTTATAATTATTAGTCATTCAGGAATAGTGTATAAAAGGAACTGGGAAAAAAAAAAAGGTTTTTAACTATATCACTTAGAATGTTTGTAGCAGATTCCTTGGTATAGCTGAGATAAAAACTCGTACGGACTTAGCGTTTATGAACTTGACTGAGTTCATGTCTTGTCCTTATTTTGTTTCTGCTACTATTGCCACCTGCTGGCAACATGCAGAACACTTGGTTTGCACTGTTCTTCTAAATATGAACGGTAGGAAATAACCCAGGACGTGAGTCGTTTCCTCTGGAGAGTGAAAAATATATTTTTTTTTTTTTTTTGGTAAGTGTACATCTTGCTCTTTTTATTCATTTGGAAAAAAAACTAGATTCCTGTTTTCAAGTTGCAGGGATACTTTAAATCACTGCAGCCTGTGTTACAGGAAGGTCTTGTTTTATCGTGCGTCTATCATGCTTCTGTGGTGCTGTTACTTTGGAATATTTAGCACATTTTTGAATTGCTAACCTTAATGCTTGACAGATTAATCTATATGATATTTTAGCAAAAGAATATAGTTAGCATATATAAGTGATTTATAAATTGCAGGACCAGGTAGAAGCAGAATTTGTCTTTATATATTGCAAGGGATGTACAGTCCCTTTTAATTTTTGTAGTCAGTTTATGAAGTATGTATAGGCTTTCCTTTTTTTTTTTTAGGGCATACATTTCCATTCTGATGTGTATCATTGAATTCTGACCTGCTGAAATAGCTGGTACTTAGATCATGATTTAAAAAATATTTATATTTTAAACGAAGAAAACTTTTCAAATAATTGAAATTGCTGAAAGACAGACTGTGTGTTTAATTGCATGCTTCCCGTATCAATATACTTTTCTGCTCTGAAAACTGAGTATTGTCCATGCACTGAAGAAAATTATTTAGTTTGAGCATCAAACACATAGTGGATAAGGTCAGTCAGGCTGCAGGTTTCTTTCCTGTTCAGTAAGTGTTGGAAGAACTGTGGTGGAAACAAGGCATTGGCAAAGACTTCTGAATTAAAAGTTCACTACTTTATCGGAATCATCGTAGATGGATATTCAGTTTCTAATTCATTGGAATTTTGAATGACTGGGTGGCTAGAAGAATTAACTTGTTTGCATATAGCTACTTCACAAAGGTGTATTTTATCTGCATGTAAATATAGGCAGGTCTGTTGGAAAGGCACAGCTCTTATGTCTTAGTTTTGGGCAAGAGGTGCTGTTTTTTTGTGGGAAGTTTTTATTGGTTTGTTTTCTAAACATGGTGTTGCTGAACTTAGCAAATCTTATTCTGGAAATTGATGTGGTCCTGGTCAACCTGCTGTAGCTGACCCTGCTTGAGCAGAGGAGTTGAACCAGATGATCTCCAGAGGTTCCTTCCAACATCAACTGCTGTGTGTTTCTGTGGAATTTTTATCTGCTTTTCAGGAGAGGTTTTTAACAAAGTGACTAAAATTATTTTTTAACCATGGATGTGCTGATATTATGGCATGATGAAATAAAGATTTTACTGGATGTATGAAATAACTTAGGGCCTTCAGAGTGTCTTCTGGGTCAGTTTTTATCTTGCACAGTGTATGTGAGTGTCCGTTTCTAAATTGCTAGGACTTTATTTGCATGATCTCTGCTCTTGATCTGTCTCAGTGCATCTGATGATTGTTAGACGTCAGTGTTTACTTTTTATGCAGTTTTATCATTCAGAAACGAAAGAAAAAAGATAATGAAAAATGCACTACTACATTAGATATTGATATTTCAGTGTGCCTCGGTGTAAAAAAAAGTTGTTGGGTAATTTCTGGGTTCATTTGAAGTTTGTGAAGATTGTATAGTACAATGAAAAAGCCGTAAGTATTGACCAGAGGAACATCTCGGTTATGAGCATGTATAGTCTTGCATGTCTACATAAATACTGAGAAAAGGCAATAAAAGTGTAATATCTTGTACAAAACAGAAAACAACAACAACAAAACAGTTTTCCTTTATCTTTTTGCCTTAATTGTGGTTTAGCACACATTAACTGAAATTGGTCAGTTAAAGTTTGACTATAAAACTTCTCTTGCAAATTTGTGCTCTTTTTTCATTCTTGGCAGCTTAAAATAAATTAATAAATTGCTCCTTTAAAGATAATTTGCCGTATTCATTATGACTGCAGTATGTCTCTTCTGTGCTGGTTCTATGTGGTGAAAGGTGCTGCCCAGTGGATACCACTAGAGGTCACTGCAGGTTGGAATAGGATTGGAGGTAGTGAGGTGACTGCGCAAAGCTTTGCAGCTCCAGGGTTGCTACTTGTGTGTGGTTTGTTTTTTCTTCTCATAAGCTCAAGTCTTTTCCTCAGGTTTTGCGACATCTCTAGAGATACATTTTGATGACTCCCTGACGAACTGCATAATTGTGCTTTTCTGAAGTACTCCCAGATTTGCAGAATATCCGAAGAGATTCAGCATTTGCAGTTTTAATTATTTTGAAGAATATTTCGCAACTCTAGAGAAGCTCGAATTCTCTGCTGTTCCGAAAGCTTCTTTTCAGATGAGAGAAAAGATATTTTTGGGGGAGTGACGGGGAACTGAGGGGAGAGAGTTTGATTGTTGTTTTGTTGTTAGCACTGCTCTGTATGTATGTTTTTATTTTTAACTGGAACAGCAGGTAATTATTTAGCTGTTGTGAAACAAATACTCATAATTGCATATTTATTTGTCTCCTCTCTTTTGCCTTTCAGACCAGAATCTGTAGAAGCTAGCCCTGTGGTAGTTGAAAAATCGAACAGTTATCCGCACCAGTTGTACACCAGCAGCTCTCATTCACACAGTTACATTGGTTTGCCCTATGCAGTAAGTTTCACACTAAGTGGTATACATAAAATAGATTATGTGAAATTTGCTGTTCTTCACTGGAATAACTCCTGATTCACAATTAGAGTTTTATATTTTGTTCAGTATTGAATAAATTTAATAAAGTGGTTGGTAAAAGTGCATTATTTTCTGTATTTGGCTTTTTATGTCAAATGTAACTGGCCAGATAGAAAACAAGTTGAGAAAGAATAATGCAGAAATAACAGCTTAAAATATTGTTAGGAAAAATGCAGTTCTCGCAACTTATTTTTACATTTTATCTTAAATAACCAGCTGAGTGCATGAATATTTAAGAGCTGTAATTTATGTTAAAAATCTAGGACCATAACTATGGTGCTCGGCCTCCTCCAACGCCTCCAGCTTCTCCTCCTCCGTCAGTGCTTATCAGCAAGAATGAAGTAGGCATATTTACCACTCCCAACTTTGATGAAACCTCCAGTGCTACAACCATCAGTACATCAGAGGATGGAAGCTATGGAACTGATATTACCAGATGCATTTGTGGATTTACACATGATGATGGATATATGATCTGTTGTGACAAATGCAGGTAATGAATATTAAATGAATCAAAAAGGTAAAAATGACTTAGAACTTCAAGATGCTCTGAGGAATAAATGTGACTGAATTATTTTTTTCTTACTGTGCTAATTCATAAGAAATTTTCTTCATCAAAAGTGTTATATGGTCATACAGCTTTTTAATGGGTAAGATAGTAGATTAAAGGCCAGAGAGTATTTTACACTTTATTACAGTGTTCAGTACTTGTATTTTTTTGAGCCTTTATTTATATATTGTTGTTCTAAGTATACTTCCTATTTTCCTCTTCTATAAAGCATCTCTTTAGTATTTTTTCTTAGTTGTTGGTTATTACTGTGATACAAGAATGCAGAGATTAATTCTTAATCTGAATGTACCAACCAGTAAAATAACTTGGTCCAGTTGCTTTGTCAACTATATACACACAAACCAAATAATTTGCAGGAAATTTAATACTTGGTAAAATTGAGCACATAAAAGACAAAACTTATCAAATGTTAGATTCTCTTCCCATTATGTTTCTGATATAATTGATATAATTCTGATATGATTGCGCTTCAATCTGTAAAAGACTTAATTTTAAGAGTTTTAATTCAGATAAAGTTTAATTTAGATCCTGATTTGGGAAACTGAAGCTAAATGTTTAAGCATTTGTGCTTAAGCGACTAGATTATAGTAAAATTAGTGGATGCCAGTTTCTGGAATTATGCAGTATTAATTAGTCATATTATTGCATTCAATGCACTTAGTGAACAAAGTAATGCTATCAAATTTACCAGGGTGTTGTGTGTGTTTTAACATGATTGTAACAGCCAAATAAAACATTAATTTGAGCTTTGTTCTTCTGGATGCTTTAATTACAGGCTTGGTTTGAATTTTTAATGGTCCTCGTTTCTGATTAAAGTTTTTGTTGTTTTTTTTGAGGTGTATTTAGAAGTTATTTCAGCAGTAGAGGTGCAGGCAGTCCCAGGTAGTTGGGTATGTCCCTGTAAAGAGACAATTTTCTGTGAGGGATTGGGAGAACTGTGAGAAAAATTCTCAAGTGGAAAGATAAGTGATTTTCATGTCCCAGTTCTTTGTAGCAATCTGGGGTTGGGCACAAGCTGGTATCCTAGGTTACCCTGCAATCTAGCAAGCCACTTCTTGGCTGTAGAAAGCAGTAGAAAAGCTGTAGAAAGCTCTTGCTTGTTGCACAACAGCGCTACCAGTCATACAACATCTGCCCCTGTGCAGGATCTTGCGTGACTACAAAAACATATGTGGTCTGAATGTCATAGGTTGTTGGTGGCTTTAGGTGCATAAGCACATGTTTTTTGTTTGTTTGCTTTTCTTTAAGCAAATGAAATCCTTTGGTAAATCAATATATTTAATTAAATAGTGAGCTAGAGAGGTCATGATGAAGGTAGTGATTGATATGCAGTGTTAGGGAGCATTCACTCTGAGTCAAGATCATGATTAAAAATAAAAAATACAAAAATATGTTTTAAAATATATATTTAAAATAACTTAGGGTGTCTTCTCTCTCTTCTTTTTTTCTTTTTTTAAAGTGTTTGGCAGCACATTGACTGCATGGGGATTGACAGGCAACATATTCCTGACACTTACCTGTGTGAACGTTGTCAACCAAGGTGAGTAGTTCACATGTTTTTGAACTCTAAAGAATGAGAATAAGTGGAGAATATAAGTACTTTAAACAGATGTTTCTTCTTTTTTTTTTAAAAAAAATGGATAACTTAGTGACCTAGTAAGAAAAGGAGAGTAGTTTCGTGTTGCATTAAAAATAGCTGAGGCACAGTTTGTCTGCACAAAATTAGTGACTGCTGGTTTTAAGCTTAGGTTCCATGAAAGTGTTTGTAGTTGTATGACTTCCCTATACCAAGAGTATAAGAAAATCCTTATGTCTTTTCATGTGTCTTTTTTTTCTCCCCTCCTCTTAAAACTGAAATTTAAAAGACATAGAACAACCTACTGGTTAAAAAACAAATTGCATAGCATAATCGTTAAGAATTTTAGATGAAGGAACTTCATTTCTGAGGCAAATGGTCTAGCCAGTTTTCCTTCATCAGAGTGGTCATTGCTTCACCTTACTAGGTGGCACGGAAAGACAGCTAGAATATACCAAATAGCACTGATTCCTGGTGATTCCTGTGGTAACTATGAAAAGCTCTGTTTCAGTACTTGAATGTGTTAATGACCAAGGGTAGAAATTGAACTAAAATTTATTTTTTGATTGCAGGAGTTTAGATAAAGAAAGAGCAGTGCTGTTGCAGCGAAGAAAAAGGGAGAATATGTCAGGTGAGTAAAGCAAGAGCTTAAGAAACTTTCCTCAGTAAGGTCATAAAAGAATTGTATGTCATTTATATAGACTTAATAGCATATACACAGTTCACTTTGGTTAACTTGTTTGAATTGCTAAAATGAAAAATTATGAAACAGAATTCCATTTTACTTAAAAACAATAATCCTATTTAGTAGAACTGATAGTGTAAACTGACTGTATTATATCTACCACTGTTCTGTATTTCCTAAAAAAACAGGAAAATCATAGCTGTAGAGAATAATACTAGGAGTTAATAAAGGAGGTAAAAGGGGAGTCATGTATTTCACAGTGTTTCCAACTTTATATTTTACTGTTTGTGTATGGTAAAGGAAGAGGGCCAAATAAAAAGCTTAAGAAAAAAGAGTTCTTAAATGAGAATACACAAGTCAGAGACACTTGTGGCTAAGAAATGATAGTGCTTCTCTCCCCCGCCCCCCCTTTTTTTTCTTTTTTCCTTTTTTCACTCTCCTTTTAGGAAGTATTTAGTATCCTATGGATTTGGAGGGTCCAGTCCATCAGGGTCTTTTTGTAGTTCAAAAATGCATACAGTAATTCCTTTAACAAGCTATGTAGTGTCCTGCCTCTCAGGACTGCAGATGGGCAGGCTGCTGTGTTGTGGGCAGAATTTCCTAAGAAGTGGTAGGATCTGAATCCTTATTTTCCCCTTCTACTTAAGGTTCCCAGCCTATCCTTGCAAAAAAGAGGATAGAGCTCCTTTATAAGAAATCTAGGAAAAGGCCTTTCTGTGTATTTTCTGTAAGTTGTGGTAGATACTTAAGGAATGTGAAAGAAAGGGAGGAAAACCAAAATAACAGTGTTTTTCGGGTACTCAATGTAGCTGTTAGTTTAAAAAAAAAAAAAAATCTTAGAAATGTTGCCTGAAAGTAGATGCTCCAGCAGCACGAGTCTTTGCTTCATAGTGTATCTTTCATTTATAAATACACTTATCTTTTAGGATAACTGTTCCCTGAAGCCAAATTTGATTGTACAGAAAGAAGGGAGTTGTTATAGCAAACAACTTGGAATAGCAAATGACTAAAGTGTAGCATTTATAAAAACAGGAATATCTTGAGTAAACTTCTGGAGGTAGATAGGAAAGTTTGAGGGTTGTTGTTTTTTTTTTTTTTTCCTCCTGTGATAGGAGAGGGATACTAAGACTTATCTCTTGCTCTATGGAAAAAAAAAGTGTTTTTGTAACTTGGTCAGATCTTCCTCCATAGCATAGAGGATTCACAACCTAATATTTTCACACACTTTCATAGCTTGTGATGTTCTTGTCTGATATAATTAAGTGAACTTTATTAAATAATAAATAATTATATGAGCTCTAAAGCAAAGTAGCAAGTTCTGAGAGGATGTTTGGGCATATTCCCTGTTTTCTTGACATCACAGAATCCCAGAATGGTTGAGGTTGGAAGGGCCCTCTGGAGATCATCTAGTCCAATCCCCTGTTCAAGCAGGGACACCCAGAGCACGTGGCACCAGGTCACATCCAGGCAGGTTTGGAAAAATCTCCAGAGAAGGAGACTCCACAGCCTTTCTGAGCATCCACAAAACTTAATAAATCAGTAATACAATTTTTATAGCTTGCTGCTTGGAATATTTTTTGCCTTTTGTGACTGCAGATGAGATTTGTGTACAAGTACATGTTTTGGTCAGTATTAATTTGTATTTTATGAACTTAGCTCTTCTACTATATACAGAATTTCAAAGCTTAACCTGGATAGAATTGCTGACAATAGACAGGCAGTATCAAAGTGTGTTTCAGGATTGGTGTGTAATCCTGATGATGTCTTCAAATCTTTTCTGTGCAGTCAATGCGTAAATGCCAGATGATAAAGTCTCTAGTATCAAAACAGAGTTAAAACAGTACTTCTAAATTAAGGCAAATAAAGCTCTAATCTGAGTTGAAGTGCAATATTAATTACTCTTACTTATCCTTTCATTTGAAACCAGTGTATGCTTGCTGTCTCTGGTTGATTTTAATTGAGCTAATTCCTTTACTTGGCCAAATGCACTTTGTATATTGGATACTACATGGTTCAGTCAGACTTAAAGTAATTCTGAGTGGGAGCTGTCTGCTATCACATACCAGGAAAAGTTGTGCTTTCAACTCCCCCTACTTGAAATCGTTTTATGTAAAGACATGGCTTTTAATATATTAGATATAGAGAGTTTTTTCTGTAAAGAAATATTCGACAGCAACAGAATGTTACTTCTAATATATTAAGCAATAAGTATACGAAGATCCATTCTGGTCACATGTTTGACTAAAGGCAAGTTTGTGTGTTGTAGATGTTGTTTGCTGAAATAGCATGCAATTAGGGTTATTTTTTGAATTAAGTTTATAAATAACTTACAGGCGCTTTCATTTCAAGAGCACCTTATAACAAATAGAATGACTTTCTTCTGAAGATCTCTGAAGTGCCTGTGCTTTTAGCCACATTGCATCCAGAGCTTAAGAGGGAATAGTAGATAACTTGGTTGGCCTTAAGAGTTCTTAAGTGGAAATTCTACGTGTTGCAGATATGGGTGAGACTTCTATAATTGCGTGTCTATCCACCTTGCTTTGGCTCCAAGTATCTTGTTTAGGAGCACAACTTATTGATCATAGTAGATACTACTTTTTGAATTTTTTTTATGGTCTATTTGAGGGGAGGGCTGGTAACTGTTCTTGGGCCTGCAGTTTGATGTGGTAGAGCTGACTTTATTTTTCTTACTGGTGTGCATTGAATTAGTTATTTTGTTTCACTGAAGCATGTTTGTGAAGCTTCTGGTGAACTGTTTCCATAATTGTGTTTTGGAATAGTACACATGCCCTAAATCATGACGAGGCAGGGGGAGGGTGTTTGTTGTTGGAAAGATACTGGATCTAGATGTATATGTTTAATACCTTGCTTCAAACTGTCAGGTTCTGAAATTGGTGCTGGTGGTATCGTGTGTTACTTAGAGAAAGGAGTCTAGGTCTACAACAGCTTTTTGTGGAGTTTGGAGAGTTTATATCTTGCTCCCCATGATTCAGGATCTTCCCTCAGTGTGCTTTAGTAAAGCTTCTCAAAGTGAGAGCAGGTTTTGTTGGTTAGGAAGGAGTGTCTCAAAACAATCCCATGTAATCAGAAACTAGGTTGAAGTAATGCTAGTAGACCGGATTATAGCAGAGACAACAGTATTGAATTGCTGCTCCCCTGGGGAAGATTGCATGTATTTTTTGTTATTTTTTTGGCTGGTGTGTGTGGGTGGTGGGGTTTTTTTTTTTTCTTGTTTATTTGTGTCCTGTGACCTAATGATTCTGTAGGCACTAACACAGAGAATGCAACATCAGTCTTTTCAAGAGTGTCTTGGGTTTTCATTTATTTTGTTAAATGTTCTGCTCTTCACTGACATTCGTCATTGTATTGGTATTTCTTCTTTCCATATGACTTTTTATTTTTGATGCTAGTTTGGAAAATACTCCAAGTAGGTGCAAAACAACTCTAGAAAATTCATTAGCCAATATGTATACATACAATGCTAGATCTCTGTTATAGGTAACTGCAATTATGTGGTGAATGAACTGTTAGAAGCAACGCTAAGGTTGTAAAGTAAGACACAAAGTTAGGGTAAATTCTTATCACAAATGTAACTTAAAAAAAAAAAAGAAAAAGCAACACATGATCATATACTGCTTTTCCCCCTGCCTTCCTCTCCCTAGTCTTCCTTCCAAATACACACCATATTCACTGCACGCAGTGAATGGTACTGGTCAAATGAGCACTCATTCAATATCTGTTTCTTTTTTTATTCAGTGTGTCATCTTGGGACTTATTTATATCACTGTTTAAGCATTTATACATAATCAGAAATGGCAGTCTCTTAGTGTTTTGTTGCACTGATTCTTAAGTCAGTTTTGGCTATTGGTGACTGTAAATTTTCTGTTAGTGAAGATGGCCATTTTGATTCCACTTCTGAGTGAAGAGCTGGAAATGCAGAGAAACTAAGTTAAAATAATCTCAGTGAATTTGTTGCTAGTTTGAAAAAGGTTTGATCTTTTTTTAATGTTAAATAGCATATATGTCTGTCATGTGATCTGTACAGGTTCAGTTTTCCTTAATTTGTCTTCCAGTCCTGAGAGTTTGGTTCTGCAGGTCAAGACCAGCCCTGTAAATGAACATGCAGTTAATGGTTTCTTTTCTTCAGACTTAATGTTTTTTATGCTTTCACAGTTTTCTTGTGGTTAAGATGGATCTTAAGTCTTTATCTTCATCATACTTCCTCATTTGCTTAACTTCATTCTTTGCACTCTCTTTAACTGCCTCAATATAAATTTGCAGGAATTAACAGGAGCCAGAAAACAAGAGAAAACAATAGCTGAAGCCTTTTATTTAGAAAAGAGCATTTCAAAAGCAGGCTTGGTCAATGATTAAGCCTTATGCCTGATAAGGCAACATGCTTCTGAGCTCATAAAGAATTTTTTCTCTGCTCTCTTATCCCAAGTATCTGCCAAGCTTGTTCCTCTGCAATTTTAGAAAAAGGCTTATTTAGTGTGAAGCATATTTATGGAAGGCTTAAATCTGAAAAGACTGTGCAGAGTGTGTGTGTGTGTGAAGAGCAGTCTCCTATTTATTTTGTACCATTTCTTCCAGTCCTACACACACTTTGACAGCCTTTCATCTTGACAGAACTGGGATAGATCTTGCTTCAGGTCAAGAAATATATTTATCTGACATAAATACTGACTTGCACTAAATGTTGAGACTGGAGGTATACAGCACAAATGAAAATCAGCTGGTGCTGGTGTATGGTTGTAGAAGTAAAATAGACTTTTCCTTTTCCTTGAAAGCAGCAAGATTTTATTTTTAGGGGATTTTGAGAAGTCTTTAAATTGACATACTGAGTGCCTAAACAAGGCGCTCAGCTCTGAAATTGGAGCTAAAGTAGTTGGTTAGAACTGTGATTGAAAATAGAATATCCTTATCTGAGCGAATCCCCAAGCAGTATTAAATGTAAAAGCTGTATGTAGGTGAATGAGTGTGTGTGTGTGCATGGCTGTGTGTTGCTTGGTTATTTATATTTCTCAACCACTGCATTCATTTCATGGAATTTATTTATCTTTTGCTTACCTGACATTACAAGCACCTCTTAATAAACCAGTTTCTCACTGGTAGTTCAGTTTCATGCTGTTAAAACTTTTGGTGAGTTTTGCATATGAGTATCTGGAGTATTTGACAGTAGTGGCACACTTAGATTTTTTTAAAACGTGATGCACAATACAATGTTCTTTCTGTAATGCAGATTGTTTACAGACTGTTCTTTGTTTCAAAGATGGGGATACCAGTGCAACGGAAAGTGGTGATGAGGTTCCTGTGGAACTGTATACTGCTTTTCAACATACACCAACTACAATTACTGTAAATCCTACGAGAGTTACAAAAGTCAATGATAAGAAAAGGAAAAAAAGTGGGGAGAAAGAGCAGAACATAGCAAAATGTAAAAAAGTAAGTGACTAGTTCTTTCTTTTGTAAGATAAGTTCTTTGTGTTATAAGATAAATTATAGCTGTATGACATAACTTACCAAGAGATGCCTGTTTAAAAAACAGTTTCTTGTTGTTAGTATTTTACTACCTGGGTTTAGATCACAAGATTAGATTTCCTTTAGATTCACAGTTTAGATTCACTTCACTGCAGTGAATTATATAGCCACTTTATTTTCTCTTCCTCTTTTCCCTGACAGTTGTAATTTTCCAGGATAGCATGACTGAGGTGATTTAAGAAAACATTTTGTTTTAGAACAACATTTTTTTCAAAAAAATAAACTTTATAGGTTACCTGTGACAGCTGGTGCCTTTCCACTCAGCCTACGCATCCCAAAGAGGCAAACAAGTAGGATATGGACTGTATAAGACATCGCTGTTAAGTTTCTGGTATTCATTAGATGACTCTAGAATTACTCTGCCTTCAATACTGAAAACTATTATAAGCTGGGAGAAAGGTGGGGAGGGGTGCCTGGGCTGCTAGCTGCGAAACCTGTGTTTCACCTAGCTTGAGATGCTGATTCTCTTTTCTGTATAGGTATTTTTGGGGAGGCGACCTTCTGCCTTCTCAAGTCTTTAATGGACCTAATTTCTCATAATCCTGATTGCTTTTTGAGAACAATCTACATAAAATATTTTTCTTCTTAATAGTCGACGCTGTTTTTCCTTTTTTTTTAAAAAAAAAAAAAAAAAAAAGAGGAAAAACAAAGACTGAATGTAATGCTTGTGTTTTATTTCAGGCATTTCGAGAAGGGTCCAGGAAGTCTTCGAGAGTAAAGGTAAAATGTTGTCATTGTTGTTGTTCTGTGTGTTTATTTTTTTTTAATCTTAAGTGTTCATTACTTCTGGTATAGCTCCAGTTGCATTCTGAACTTCATTCTGCTTATTTTATGTATGTGAATTTTTGGTAGAGGTATCACTTGCATCTAAGCACACTAATGCTCTAAAATAAGCTTCATATATAATATTTCAACTAGAAAGACTCTTTAATAACCAATGTGCCACATACCTACCATAATAATTTTAAAATAAGGTATGAATGGTACTGCTTTTTTTTATGCCCTGTGTAAAGCCTTCCAAAATCCTGCAAAATAATGTGCTGTGGATTCTTATTCTGAGAAGGATTTCAAGATGCTCTTTCTGTGATGATATCTTGTGGTTTTTATTTTGTTTATTGGGGGAGGGGAAGGCAGAAATTAGGGAACACTTGTGCTGTGCAAGAAAGCTGAATGCTGGACCTTATCTGAGCTGCTTATCTTGACCTTTTAAACTTTAAACAGGACAGAGATGAAAAGACTGTGTTACTTTTGAAAACTAAGTTCTGTTCTGGCCTATGTAGGTGTATAAACATTGGTTATTTTTTGTAATTTACAGGGCTCGGCTCCAGAGATTGATCCTACTGACAGTTCCAACTTTGGATGGGAAACTAAAATCAAAGCATGGATGGATCGTTATGAAGAAGCAAATAATAACCAATACAGTGAGGGTGTTCAGAGGGAGGCACAAAAAATAGCCCTGAGATTAGGCAATGGGAATGACAAGAAAGAAGTCAACACCAGCAATCTGATTTTCAAACCTCCAGTAGAGGTAACAAGCTGTGTTATGTTGTATGGCTGCATGCCGTGCTTGTGTCATGAAAAAGCCATTTAGATACCTTAAAATTTCTTTCCTACCTTTACTTGTTTGTTCTCTCTTGTCTCACAAATACAAGTATTATTCTCATAAGAATAGTGAAGGTACTAGACTTAAAAACTGAATTGTTCTTGGGATATGGCCTCTATGAAGGCCATAACACATGGTAGGCTTCCTCACTAGTATTTCTCTGCTCTGGGAGGAATGTCAGGAGTGATGAGAGCAGATAAAAGCATCAGAACTGAATTCTACCCACCTCCATCCCTGTAAAATGTGGTAAGCCTATTCTGGCTCTGGAGGCATTTAAACAGAATTTTGCTTAGGATATGTGCATGAAGGACACTTATGATGGTAGTTGGTATGTTCAAGACTTGGAAGCCAAGATCGTATACCAGTTAGATGTTAGGAATTAGCTTTCAGATAGCAATGACTTCAACCAAATTATAGTCTTAGGTGTACATAATGCTCTGGAAAGGTAAGTGTCTGATATCTTGTCGATGGTGTTTGTCTGTAGTCTGCCATCCTCTAAATTGTATTTTATGAAAAAAATCTTGCAATGTCTCTATATTCCTGACATCACTTAATTTATGAGCTTAAGATTAAAGCTGTATATTAGATTTCAGCATTTTTGTAAAAGAAATCTTGAGGATGAGTTACCGTAGCAGTTTAATAGGAGCTTTTTCTCTCTTTTCTTACAAGCCCCATCATGTTACATGGGGTATGCTCCTTAGATGAATATCCATGTATGTAGAGCTCTTTGCCCATGTATCAATCACTTTTTTTTTTTTTCCTTTAAATTGGAGATGATAGTTACTAGAAGTGTGAGCTCACTAGTGTTTAGTTTTGCATAGTGTTGCTTTTGTGATGAACTGTAATGTGGTTTTCATAGTGAAAAAGTTGGTGGAAATGGATGTTTCATAGTTTGACTTTTCTCTTCATAGAGTTATGTGCAAAAAAACAAGAAAATTTTAAAAGCTGCCAAAGAATTGCCTCCTGATGCACTTATTATTGAATACAGAGGAAAGTTCATGCTGAGAGAACAATTTGAAGCCAACGGATATTTCTTTAAAAGGTTTGTTTACTCCATATATGTTTTAATAAGGTAACTTTTAAAATGACATTTTGCCAGACTCCCACTTCAGGTACCAGTGTATCTTGGATTCTGCTGTTTTTCAGTTAAAAATAATAGGACCTGGACTCAGTTCTCCTCCTTATCTTCTGAATAGCTTTGCAGTTTACTGTAGATCTAGTTTCCTGGTGCTACTTCTGCTCTATTGCGGCTACAGCACACTTGCATTCTCAACTGTGTAGTTCAGCACCTTCAACCAGTGTTCAACAGGTTCTGCCATCCAAAAGTAAAAGTAAAAAAGTCACCCTAAGCTAAGGGTGAAAACCCTCTCTTCTGTCTAAGATGATGATTTTAATCCTTTCAGACCAAAGGGGGATATGCAGGTTAATGTGGGCCTTTTTACTGCCAATTGCTCTTGTTGACGGGTGGTTGGGCAAAGCCAGACTTTCTGTGTATTTATCTCAGTGCTGTCTGCCTGTGAGTTACGGGTAGTGGGAGCACAGCTCCATGAGGACCGTGGAGCACAAGGATGTAGCCGCTTTGGAAGTGGAGCGGCCTCTTGGAGAAGTGAGAGCGTAGAGATTTTGCCAAGTAGAAATGGAAGGGTTCCTAGGCACTTGTAATAGCAGAACTTAAAGCACCTCTTGGTAAAAATTTTTAAGTAGTCCCTTTCTTCAAGGGAATATTCTTTTTTTTTTTTTTTCTTCATTTTTTCTAGATGACAGACACACCTCAATTTCTGCCTCACTTCCATTGAGGAAAATTTTCTTCAATGAAAAATATGAACACTGTCTTACGTGTTTCTTGCCATTTTACTGTTAGTTTCTGGTCCCATGCAGAAAAATAATATTCAGGATTGTAGCTTAAATTTCAAGTATATGCTGTCAACAAGTTTTGAGAATGTACCAGTTAGAAGTAGGAAACTTTTAATACCAACAGGTCATTTTCAAATTAACTCTCAAATTCTTTATATCATGGCAACATCACGGCACAAAGTTAACTGATGTGAAGAATAAGCCATACTTAAATAACATTTTGAAAAGAATAAAATGGTGTTTTTCTTTTGTCTTCCTTCAGGCCATACCCTTTTGTCTTATTTTATTCCAAATTTCATGGGCTAGAAATGTGTGTTGATGCAAGGACATTTGGAAACGAAGCTCGATTCATCAGGCGCTCATGTACACCAAATGCGGAGGTAAGGATATACATTGTTTCCCAACTGCTAATTTTAAACACTTCCAACAATTTTCATTTGGGTTGTCTTTAAAATGAAAATAATTTTTAAAAAATGTGTTTTAACATAAGAATGTTTTCTTGGATATAGGTGAGGCATGTAATCGAAGATGGAACAATTCATCTTTATATTTACTCCATCCATAACATTCCAAAGGGAGCTGAGATTACGATTGCATTTGATTTTGATTATGGAAATTGGTAAGTTTCTGAGCATGTTTATTAAGCTGTGTTGTGATATAGTCCATGTGGCTTTGTCCTGTGTCACTTCTTTGCATGCGCTAACAACACAGTACTCCTTGAGTACATTCTTGTAATGAACAGTGCATATTAAGGCAAGCCTTTTCCTGTATTTTTGTCTGAATATGTGTTTCCAGTTTCAGGAATTTGACCCATAGTTGTAAACAAATTGAAAAAGATACAAACTGATCAGTGTAAATAAAGATGTACTATGAAGATTTTTTTCAGTACGTAGGTGATCCATAACGTGAGGAGCATAGTAAAAAATATTAAAACTGGTAATATGCTGTTTATTTCAGAGTGCTTCTGTAGCATAGCTTTAGGAAGACAGTTTCTGTACAATTTCATTATGAATCATGTTTTTGCTTAATATGTAATTAACTGAAGGCTCAGTGCCTTAAATTGTGTATCTATTAATGTGTTCTCCTGGGATGTTAACTACTGCTTCACTTATGAACTGGGGAGAGTTTGAATAAACTGCAGTCTAGCTTATGGGCACTGGTTTGAAATGGTAAAGTATTAGGTTTAGTTACTCTCTTATACGCATGAATTGTATTATTCAAAGACCTCTCTGATGGCAAAATAAAGCCTTTGAGTGCTATAATCTAGTAATTATTTTTCTTGATTAGTAGGAAACGTTCTAGGGTATAGGTACAATGTGCAGGAACATCTAAGCTAATACTAACCTTGGAAACCGAAGCATTGAGGATACTAGTTCTGCGCTTGCTCAGGTCCAGAAGCAGTTTCACATCTTGCTGCATCAAGGTAATAACGCTTTTCTGTGCTCTGCTGATAATTCAGCTTGGTGCAGTGCTGTGCAGACATGGCTTTACTGCTTCTGGACCTGAAGTGGCATGTCCATAGAGTATTGCCGGTTTTAACCAACTCGGGTTCTAACTAGCTCGAGATAATCTTGTAGTATCTCTTGTAGACAAACTCTTGCATCCCTTACATGTGGGTGGCCTAAGAAATTGCCCAGTTGGTAGGGTTTTGATTTTGTTATTTATGCATTCTGAGTAGACAGTAGTTAAGTGTCTGCACTTGCCAGCCTATGTAAGTTGTAGGAAAACTGCACAAAAATGTCTCTGAAATCTTTCCAAAATGCTCTTTATGTGAATTTTGTCATCTTTCTTTGCCTAAAGCAAGAACTCTTTCTGGCATGGCACAGAATAGATACTGCCAGGGAAATTATATATCACGGAAACATTTTGAAGCATTTGAGTCATTGAAGGATATATGTGTTTGAATGCAGCATCTGACTTTTTAATTGTTGGCCTGATAAATGCAAATAGAACTGTGACTTAATTGCTTAGCTTGTGTATACATGGTCTGACACATACCTCAGTTTGTTGGAAGGTACACTTTATCAGACACTAACTACAGTATTCTGTTCAAATGGGCATAGGAGTCTTGTATACAAGAGATTTGTGTGTTTCTTTAATTAAGAGGAAAAAAGGGAAAAAATCAATAAAGGGCACAGGGTAGTTACTGTGGGGATTATACCTCCATCGAGAATGTGTTTTTAAGTTTTTAATGTTCTAGTCTGATGAGCAAATGCTAACCTTGAATTTAAAAGAATTGCAGATTGCAAAGAGCAACATTCTCTACCGACTGGTAGCTGAGAATTTGGAAGTGTAACATAATGTCTGTGTTCGTCAAAACTTGAGTTAACTGCTCTTAATATGATTGTTTTGCATCATAGATGTTTAATGTGAAATGTATCAGCTTATGCAGTTTAGCGCTGAAAATTCCCATTACTGTTTGACCTAATAAGAATTTGCCTTCTTGCATTAATTATTTTTAGTAAATACAAAGTGGATTGCGCTTGCCTCAAAGAAAATCCTGAATGTCCTGTTCTGAGACGTTCTGAACCTACAGAAAACATCATTACTGGATATGAGACGAGGAGAAAAAAAGGAAAGAAAGAAAAGGATGTTTCAAGAGAAAAGGAGACTCAAAATCAGAACATCACATTGGACTGTGAAGGAGCAGGCAACAAAATTAAAATCCCAGATAATAAGCAGAGGAAGCTATCTCCCCTCAGGCTCTCCATCTCTAATAATCAGGTATTGGCAAAAAATGATTAGAAAGAAAAGCTTTCAAACATGAATACTCTTCTTTGTAGTTGCTAAAGGAATTATAACACATTATTGAAAAGGATTGTATGATTTTACTAAAAATCATAATGATGGATAAGCTGTTTATATTTTTTATATTAGTCTCAGTTTTTCCTAGTGCCTGATTGGTTTTCAAATAACATTGGTTCCCTTGCCAGTTTTAATTATGGTGGGATTTTTTTGTTGTTGCTTTTTGTTTGTTTGTTTTTTCCTCTGAATGTCTTTGCGGATCTCTAATGTAAAAAGTCTCATGTCATCTGCCTTCAGGATTTCCCAAGGTGTCGTGGAGTGGCTTTTAGTTAGTTGCATCTGTAAGTTGTGAGCTTAATATTTTAAACATGGGATAACAAATTTTCAGACCCAAATTTTGTATGTTGGCTGTGCCCCTCTGTTAAAACAGTTGATGAAAATTTTAAATAGAATTTGAATTAGAAAAGATATGTTTAGAACTGAAGTGCTGATAATAGGTGGATGCTGTCCAGTAGTATATAGTGGTAGACAATTTTCAGATATGTCTTTATTTTAACATGTCAGTTTGAAAGAGCTAGCGAGAGAGATCTGTGAAAATTCATTGTTAGTTTTACAAAGAGAAAGAGAATTAGAAAAGTATGTAACAGGAGAATATGGTTTTCATGGTAACAATCTCTTTTTTTGCTGTGGGAGAAAATAGATTCACTAGAAAAAAGTTAAATTGATGTTTTACAATGATTTGAGGGCAGAGAGAGAGAGGAGCCATTTCAAATTTCTTCATCTCTAAAGTTACTAACAGTGAAGGGAGAATCCTGCAAATGAGCAAATTGGCACCAAATTTATGTGAGACTGAGACTGTTGAACTGTATGGGGGTTCTAGCAGCTAAATCAACACTTGGAAGCCTGTAAGACATGACACGTGACTGTTGCAGGTGATGATCCGCAGAGGTGATGTTCAGACTTCCTCATTGTACTTGTGGTTGTTTTATTTATTTTTTTAAAAAAAACTATTAACTGGTATTAGGAACCTTCTGGGTTTTTGGTGTAATACACAGGGCTTATAAAGAACAGTCAGTAGCAGGAGAACTCATATGTTGTGCACAACAGTGAACTTAAAAGCATGAGGGTTTTGAGAAGAGCAGAGCTGTTAAGCAGTGCATCTAAATATAGAAGCTAGTTAAATAATAGCTCTTCTCTTTTAATGAAATATTAAGGTAAATTGCTAAAAAGCTTATGGGAAAATATAAAACACCTTTGAAGAGAAATGTTAAGAATTTTTGTTAAATATCTGATTCTTGGTTATTTTTTTATATTACAACAGACCTGAAGATTAAGTGTGTATTTTGTAACTATTTTTTTCATCAGTTAGTTAACTGTTATGATATGGCAATTCATTTAAACCCTCTCTACAGTCTAATGATCTTTGTCACTTTATTGGAGCACACTTGTGAGCTGAGAACAATTTTATGTAACTGTTTATAACAATATTCATTCTACTTTACTAAAACTAATGCCCAAGATTTTTTTTTTGAAATGGGTATGTAATGTAAAGCTCCTAATTCTTTATTTTTTTTTAATAAGTGGCTAGATCAGTGGCCACTGTCACTGTCTTGAAGATTCTGTTGGTTTAGAGGTTTAATTCTCATAATTTTGGTAGAGGGGGTGGGAGTAACCCAAACACTTTGCTAAGATTAATATATTGGGAGGGTGGGGGTGGGAAATAATAGTATCTATGATCAGATTGGAAAAGACTTGGTCAAGTGGTTACATTTTTAGGTTTATACAAGGATTCACGTGGCTGTTAGCTTTTACATTTTGCTGTGGTTTATCAGCGTAGCTGCTTTTGAAGTAGTGACCTTGAGGATTCTCTTCTGTGTAGCTTTTAGTTTTCCCTAGTTTGCAAGAGTAGTGGAGCTTCTGTAAAGCAGTCATTTCCATCTTTCAGGAGCCAGATTTTATTGATGATATAGAAGAAAAAACTCCTATTAGCAATGAAGTAGAAATGGAATCAGAGGAGCAGATTGCAGAAAGGAAAAGGAAGATGGTAAGTTGGGAAGCAATAGCTGCTTAAAGTTGTCACTAAGCCCTAGTGACACCTGCTCTTCCCATGCTAATTGCTGCCTTTCTGTAGGCTTCTAGAATCTGAGTGTATATGAAGTCAGCTGCTACATGAACTTCAACTTAAAATGCAAGGCTTGTTTGAGTGAGAGCATTTCCATTTGGCTTGGTCATCAGTTTCTGACAAACATGCAAATCTGCTTTTATTTTCAAATGTACATAATTTTCTATTGCCTTTACAAAAAAGCATTGCCTGTAGGAATAATCTAGGCTTTTTTTTCTTTGCTTTTGTTATTGCACACCATTTATACTGGCAATAGCCAGTTGTAGGTATTGTTGGGAGTCAGATTTTTGACTCATATTTTTGAGTTATCAGCTTATGAGGCCTCAGAAATCCTAATTTTGGAGGTTGGTAAAATAATACTTTACAAAAACTGACATTTTAAAATGTGCTTTTGTGTTGGACATTCAAAATGTGAGGTGCTTGGAATTTCTGGTTAAATGATAACATCTTGACCAAGGTATATAATGACATTTTCTGTGAATTTTTCAAACACCTTTGTTTATTTGTTTGCTTTTGTTTTCTTTCTATACACTTTAAAAAAGAAAAAAAAAAAAAGCTTTTTCTAAAGCTTCACTGTAATGTATGTGTTGAGAAAAGTTTTTGAGCATTTGCAGGTGCAAAAGCATGCATCTGTAATGAATGTTATGAGAAGACTTATTTGGATTCTTCATACAAAATTATATTTAACTTCTGCCTAGCTTCTGCACAGCTTTTGTGTGTGTGTGTGTGTGTGTGTGTGTGTGAACTTAGTAGGGAGATATATAGTCTTCCTTAGAAATACATTCTAAGACTTGTGCCTTTTCAAGCCTAAGAACCGGAGATTCTCTTTGCCCAAAGTTTGTTACAAAGACACCAATGTATATTTTAGAACTTTCTTAAATAAATTCTGAATGCTACCTCAGTTGTCTTAAGTAGCATCTCAGATTTTTTTGCAATTTTTTTTGCTTGCATTTTATTCTTGTTTTAATTTCCAAAACTTGTTTTAGTGATTACCCTTTGCATAGGTTTGAGCTGGTGTCTTGCACACTAGTGTTCTCCATAGGTTCATGTTCTGTAATGCTGTCAGCCTAACTCAAAAGCTATAAAACAACAGTAGGATACAGATTTGGCAGGAAGTTACTGCTAAATCCACCAAATGTAAATAAAAGGTTGTGATATAAAAATTAAAACTATGGAACTAAAATACATGAGGGGAAAAATTGCTGGGGCTTGTGTTCTGGTGTTAAAATAACAAAATATATATTTTCTCTTTAATAATATGCTAAGAACTGGGTGTTTGTTGCTTTGTAAAACTGTTGCTCTTTAATAAACAAAAGTAACATTCTCATATTTTGTACAGCCAAGTGTAACTTCTGTGCTTAGGCCTGTTAATATGTAACCCCCCAATGTGTCTAGGTATATAAACTCAGCAGCTAAACTGAGAGAATGCGTCTCGGTATATAAACTCAGCAGCTAAACTGAGTAGCAGTCAAGGTTATTTCTGGTACTGTTGTGATTCTCACTTGCTGTCTTGTGATGTAATATTTTTTAATGCAAAATTAATGCTTTTGTCTGAACCACGTGGGCCTGAGTGGTTATGGGGCCTGACAAGAAAGTCAAAAATTTGAGAGACTGGGAAAAGAGATAGAAGGCTATATTGCCAGCCCTGTTCCCTGGCTCCTAGAGAACTTGTGATCTTCTTACTGCTATGCAGATAGACATCATTAAGCAATGCCCCTCTTTCCTGAACTAAAACTAGCTGGCGGCACATTGTGGGAAAGATAGGTAAGAAAGGAAGGGCCGTTTGTTTTAAGGACAAGAAAGGAATTTCCAAAGCATAGGGAATGGAGACTGTACAAAGAGAATTGGAAGTTGATGATAGGAGGGGTATGGAAACAAAGGAGTTGGAGATCTAGTCTCTTGATTCTGCAGCCTAAGAAATACTGTAACAAGCCAAAAGGAAGGTGACCATGAATTTAGGATGCAGACCTCTGCCTGCTACCCTCCTCCCCTTAACTCCCTAAAAAAGCTTCTTCACAGTATGCACAAAGTACAATAAGGCTATTTTCTTTTCAATTTAATTGGAGTCGATCTGTTTTTCTTTTCTCATACTTTATTACTACCACTTCTGCACCAGGTTTTTGCACCTTCTACCTCTAGTTCTGTTACCATCACTCTTCACCATTTTCAAAACTTTAACGTTCAGTTTCTTAACTATAAATAAGTTCTTTGAACTCAAAACAGCTTCAGTTCTCTCTGTAGAATTTGCACCATTGCTTAGTCCTTTGACTACCTCTTTTGCATTTGCATTTATCTTATCCCATGCTGTCTTAGTGCAATACTGCATTGAACGAGGATTTTTACATATATATACACACATATATTTATAAA